AATTATATTTTAGTGAATTGTAAACAAGGTATCGTAACTACACCTACATTTTTTGTGCGAAAAGTACTGGTAACTAGTAAACTAAATGTTCCTAATTGGATTTTTCGCTAGTGTAATTATAAGTATGGTTTTTGAAGGCTTTTGTACAAAAAGTCCGAAAGTAGGCTTAGAGAAAATCGGGTGGTAATATGGAACCTTACTGTATATTTTCAAAAAAATGCTTTAATGTAGCCAAAAACAAATAGGAAAGGACAAAAAATGTTAAATAATTACCAAATTATTTACTCCAATGTATTTTATCGCAAAAATGCTTTTATAATAGAAAAATATGACCTCCATCAACAATATATATTCCAGCAGCTCTTTTTCGATATTCTTTGGACGAATTGGCTTTCTACCTAGTGTCTTTTTCACAAATTGCTCTGGAGGAATGTCTGCTTGCAAATAGAAAGTTCGGAAGAGTTGAGTTCCATATTACTGTAAAAGCACCAATGGGGTCCGTATTTCACGCATCGCCATCTGGAATTAACTTATGTCTGTCAAGACCAAAATTTAAAAAAACGTGAACATCACATAGATTAATACGTACCACTAAGTCTCTGGAACGGAATACATGCACCAGTGAACCTACAACTACACGATTTATGTTTTAAAAATAATTAAATTTACTTAGCATTCAAAACTTGCAAATTTTGAAAAAAAAACAAATTTGCTGATTAAATGCGGACAACCGTTTAACTGAAGTAAAAGGGGTTTTCCCCTTACTATGGATGTCTGCCTAGTTCAGTTCAGCCACATTCCGCTACAGTTCGCCTTTATTATCAGTTTGAAATGGGGTGGTTCCATAATACCCGCAGTGTTCCATAATACCACCTTCTCCTCTATATATTAAAGACCCACCTAATGGGAAATACAGTTGTTACTCACCATTAATTGCAAGTTTTCAAACGGCATAAGACACGGCACATCAAAATTTACGCGACTCGCTGTAAATCTCCTAACCGCCAACTAACGGAACACAATGCAACGGATATTATTCGAATTTTGTAATGATGTAGGCGAGCGGTAAAGGAACATATTCCTAGATGACGTGACCGTTCAGTTTTGATTATATAGGCGATATTTGCACTGTGGCAACTAGCCTCGGTCTTCCCTATAATCATAATTCAAATTATTTTCATTTCCGGTAATTGCATTTTTTAAAATTTTTTTATCGTTTTTGTTTCTTTTTCTCTGTGAACAATAAGACGGGTTGTTTTAATCATACCTATCGTTTATTCGGCAGGCCCACAGTGAGGGCGGCAGGGTGGTGAAGGACGGGATCTGACATATCCGGAACGGACCTCCATGACAAATTCCTGGGGTTGCTTGCCGGAGTCGATCCAAGGTTGCAGGAGCTGCAAGTTGCCGCTACTCGGCCAACCAGCTATCTGATCAATCATCGTCATGGAAAGGAAAAAGTTTTCCGTGTCTGTTGCTTGGGTGTTTGACTGAAAAAGCCTTTATGGTGCCTGCGGGGAGAAAAGTCATCAATAAAAATTTTCCCAGGATAGCAGGCTTTATTGTTTCAACCGTTCGGCTAAAACTTATTACAGTAGAGCGTCGTTTACCCGAATCAATTGGGGACTGAGGTTGTTGGAATAACTTATTTTTCGGATAACCGATTATGTACGAAAAAATATATTAACCTATCCCATGTTGAAATTTTTCTCCGTTGCGTGTCGCTTCGCGTTGAATTTTCGTCGATGTTAAGCCTAACGTAAACTTTTTAAAATAATAATCGTGGCTATTGTATCGTTAAAAATTATTTCTTTATTTTTTACAAACAAAATAAACATATTGAAAAATAAACAAAAAAAAATTATACTTTAGAAGTTAATCTAGTATCAAAAACGTTCGATTCAGCATGAAACACAGTCCTCAGAAAAACACCACACAAAAGTGCCAATGCTGCCAGCTAAAACACACATCAACAAAAAAAAATATTGGAGTAGCCCAAGATATAGCCAAAGATTGCAGCGCCACAGCACTAGCGAAAATTTAAATTTGCCGACTGGAATTCTTTTGGATAAACGACGCTCTACTGTATTACAAATCGGAATTTCATTAAATTTCATTTCCAATTTTGATATCGGCATTGATTGTAATGGGTTATTTAACTATAAACTTTTTCTAGTTACTTCTTTGAATTAACATTTTCCCTACTCATGATATTCCTCAACATTATAAGTATTCAGTAAAATCTGTAAAGTTGACCACTTCTATAACTATAAGTTAAGTTGACGTATTTTTTTTAAACCAAACACAGCCCATAGAATTAACATTAAGTAGTCCTCCTATAACTTGACCACCTTTACCAACCCAAGTCCTTAATCCTATTGTAAATCTCGTTGTACAGTACAGTACTCGTGAACTTAGGCAAGAACTGTACATACCGAGGGTGTGTACTCAAATATTATTCAACTTTACTGTGTTATCTTTTAAGTGGCAGTATCGAAACTTACGAGATTTTTTGTGATTTGAAAAAATTTGAAAAAATGGCGCCGCACGAAAATCGGGATATTGATATCTGCGTAAAACTGCTTTCTGAACAGGTGTTGACTTCCAGAGAGATCGTTAAATCAGTAAAATCTAGTTCCATTGATATAGCTCAGAAGCCGGTAAGCAATATTATTAGTTCTTGTACAAAAAATAATGGAATGAAAATGGTGTCGTTTAAAACTTTGTTCGAAACCTAGGCCTGCGCGCTGCAAAGCCAATATTGAGAAGGTCCACAAACTACTGTCTACACCAAACCCTCCAAGTATCAGAAATATTAACAAGAAAATTGGAACTTGCTAGAGGAATATACAAAACATAATTCTTAAGGATTTGAAAGCAACAAAAGTACAAAAGGCTAAAGTACTGTACATCGCCTTTCCGCGCAACACAAACAAAATCGTAAGACAAACTGTAGGAGAGACACCTGGCGGCAGATAGATCAGAATTTATGGTGACATTGGAGGAAGTATATTTCTACTTAAACTATTGTAATGGAGTTGGAAGATCTGCTACTCTTTTCTTGTTCAAAATGTTCCCGAACTAGGTTGACGAGGTGCTACGAAAGCTGACCGGAAAGTTCCATGATCGGAAGAGAACCACTTCCTCTTATAAATGTTTTAAATGAAGTTAAGGTGAATTCCGACTATTATATCAGCAATGTACTGAAGTCATATCTAGAAAGAAATGTTCCTCGCATGCATGGACAAAGTTATGTTCCATCATGACAAAACCTCTTCTCACACTGCAAACAAAACTGAGGAGTATCTCAAATATCTTAAAACTTCTCCTGGTCTACTGGTCTCAATTATATTTATACATAGGCTTATATATAAACAGGATATTCCTACTAAATCACCGGGCATTAGCTTTTTAGACTTCTTCGGTTTTGGATTCCTTAAACAACGACTCTTCCATCGACATGCTATAACTCTGAGTAGGCTTTGGAAAGTACTTAAAGAAGAATGGTCAAATATAATCCCCGAAAAATGTAAAGGTGTTTGACTCGGTAGTGTTTGGAAACGGCGTTTGGAAAAGGTGTTTGGAAACGGCGATATAGGTTGTTGCCAAACAGCAAGGAGCTCACATCGAACAAATCAAAACAATTAACAGAAGGATTTTTAAAGACATTAATTAATTTTGAACTTGAGTAATATTTTCGTACGCAGTATGCAGATAAAATAATTGATAGTATCTTGACAGAGATTACCGAGGCACATGATTTGGTTTAAACAGCTAATATCATATGCAGAAAATCAGTCTTCTCAACTTCTAGAAAAGATGCTTGAAGTACAAAAAAAGCGTGTTTTTTTTCAAAAAAAAGTTGTGCAGAAGCGTGATCTTTTCCTTTTCTGCTAACTTGTTCCATTTCATATTGTGTAGCACAGCAATCGTTCAGCAAGAGCTACAATAACGAAAAATTTATAAAGCAATTAAATACAGTACTGTATTGCAAACTTGCTCAACTTTATTTGATGTTTTATAATTTATTAAATATTTTTATTGTATTTAATGTAAAAATATAAATTAACGTAAACTGTTTTAGGACAGTGCTGTATAATGCCGACATTCTTGTTAAGTAAAAAATATGCAAAAGTGTAATATAAACCTATTATGGCCTCACTCCTATAAATTGATCACCGTTGGTTCCTAAGAAAAGTGATCAATTGAGTGACTGTCTAAGCCTTAGACAGTCACTCAGTTGACCACTTTTTTTAGGAACCAACGGTGGTCAGCTTATACAGGCTTTACTGTATTTTATAACCCGAAAAACCTGGCATTATATTGATGTTTATAAATTGATTTACAGCTATCAAAATGCTGTAAAACTCGAGTTTGTGTTTGAAAGGAATAATTCGAAAAATATAATTACATAAATTTAAAAAAAATTACAAAAATTTTCTTTCGTAAAATGAATGTAAGATTTTTAAGCCGTGAATTATCTACATTATGAAAAGTTTTGACATATTTATCATTTAATTTCACTAGATCCACTTGTATATAAACAAATGTCCATCTTCAATAAGTGGCAAATATTTATATATTGATAAAAAGAGGTCGGCCATTATTATAATCGATATAACAAATGGTCAATTTGCTAAATAAATTCGTAACATTTTTTAAATTTAAAATAATTAAAATATCTCACTTTTTTGCGATAAAATATAAACTGTGCGCCCTCAAAATCGAATTATTCATTTGTAAATAATGTGAAATCCCCGAAAGAAAATTCGTTATCGATCGATCTCCCTCTTCAAATTTTGTTTATGCTCTAGATTCTTATAAGATTAATCGTTGCGTAAACTATTTTATTAGTAATTAAAATTAACTTTAAATTATTTTAATGTGTATATATTTTTTTCTAACTGTAATAAATTATATTTACGTCATTTCATAATAATATATATTACATTACATAATAATAATCTTATTGCGATTAGAAATAGTTATAATTATTTTAAATTTTTAATGTAATAATGATTAAGTGAACGTCGTTTTAGTTTAAATTTTAAATCAGCAAACACTTAACAAAAAAGAAAGAAAAAAAAAAAGTGAAGGGAGTGTAAACAGAGAAGTTGTAAACTTTCAAAATGTTTTCTTTTTACTGGCTACCGATGATATCATCGAGGAGGAATACGATTGGACGACGTTGCCGTCATTTCTCTAATTTTAGAAAATGACGTAATTTCGGCTGCGGTGAGTTTGAAACGAAATGGGCCCGTTTGGCCTCTGTTATATGAATGAATGCGTGATTGATGCTCTTTAATTCTTTAAAAATATCTCGAAAAATCTTAAATATGCTCGAATTTTAAAGTTATTTCTTGTATATAAAAACTTTAAGATGGTAAGTTTGTAAAATAGTCCATGTAAATATATACCATTAAATAAAATTTTGTAAAAGTTTTAATATTTAAAATATGAAATTAACCTTAAAATATGAATGAAATTGTTATGTTTTAATGGTAGCATTTTCCAACTTGTTCTTATTAATGTTTTGATTAATTGCTATAATTGCAAATGTTAATTGATATTGCTTGGTGAATATGAGAAATCATAAATTCTTATCATATGTATTTTATATAAATTACAACATATTTATCACTGAAACATCTTTATTAAATTTGTCTTTAGCATATTTTATCATCTATAGTTTTTAAAATATAATTAAATGCATTAATTCTAAATTATAACTATATACATTTTACATGTGATGCAAACTCATTTTTGAAGATTTTTATTTAATATATAAAATTACATAATATTCTTTTAAAGTAAATGTGTGTGTATTGTAAGATAGAAAGTTGTAGTCTATATAATTATCTATATTTATTTTGTGTGTTTGTGTTTTCAAAAGTTTATTTTTTGTGCGACTATTATTGGATAAAGCTTACTAGAGGAAATTTATTTTTATCATTATTTCTTCCTTAATAAATCTGTTTCTGTAGCTATAAATAGTATTTCTGAGTGATGAATTTTTAAATTTTCTCAAAATATAGGTGTTGGAACTCCAGTCTGTCTTCTGGTGAATGAGACAACAAATTGCCATTAGATATCAAAATATAAATTATTGTTTTTTTTTTAACTGAAAAAATTAAAAATCATTTAAATTTTAATTTATATAGTATAAATTTATTTACAACAATAGTAATAATAATAATAAATCACCAATTAGAAGTTATACACACTTACTCCACTGAGATTCAAGTGGAGTTTGACCCAGCAAAATGCTTTGCATAGAAAAAGGAATCCCAAAGAAGGATGATCCTGAAATGGAGATGTCATTGATCCATGGATGAGGATAAAGTCTATAAATATTTAGGATTCCAACGAGCAAAACTTACAGAACGTGCACAAATAAAACAAAGACTAACAAAAGAATGAAACAGCACATTAAACTCAGTACTAACAACACAGCTGAATGCAAAACACATTTAAAGTAATAAACATTGCAAATATACTGTGCAAATAAACACAGACACTGCAAGAATCTTTCTACAGAAAACAAAAAATATCACAACTACACAATGCTTTAACTCTTACAGACAAAAATAGTACAATATAAACAAAACATACCATTAAACTTACACCATTATTGTCCTGGATCTAACAAAATACACAAATTAAAACTTCAGGAAGTGGCATATATAATCTAAAATCACCAGTACACTAAATCAGTTAAACTGAAAATATTTAATATAAACTGGTTTAGTGTACTGTTGTGTTTTTAGATAATCCACAATGCACAGACACCATCAAGCAAAAGTACAGAAAGCACTTTTTAAAAGATACAACATTGACAGATGACACTTACAGGAAATGTCACTTAATAAACAAGATTTTACAAATGCAAATTTCATTATATTGTTCTCAGAAAGATCTCCATGGTAGGCACCCAAAGATTTTGGCCAAGATCATGTTGACAGATGACTATCAAACTGTTGTCTGACTCATGGGTATGCCTTTGGAGAATCAAAAGGGTTCATGATTGCTGTACAAGATAAGATCATAAATACAAGAAACTACAGAAAGCAATTTTTAAAAGAAACAACATTTACAGATAACATTTATAGGAAATACCACATAATGCTCAAGATTTTACAAATGCAAATTACAATATATTGCATCAAAGCTTTTAACTGACTATTTACATCAACAAAACCAAATAGCAAATATAATACACTGAAAAGCTTGCACTAAAACATAAACTTCTATACATCCGGGAACCATACTACATATACACACCTCAGACAAAAAAATCCATCACAACAGACAAGACAAGTAGACCATCATCTTTGGTAAACAAAACAAAATCACATACATCATAGATCTAACTGTTCCAAACACTCAATGTACAAAATACATATGCTAAAAAATTGCAAATACTCAGAACTTAGAAAATACTGTCTGTGGAGAATAAATAGGGGTTCATTGTGCCTAAGGTCTTTTCTTATATAGATGTAATACTACACACAGACACAAAAGTCTTGAAACATTAGAGCTTCACAATACACACATCATGTTACAGAATACTGCTACACTAATCACAGTCACATTATCTGGAAGTTCTTAAACACAGATATATATATATATGAACAGCATATATATATATATCTGTGTTATATTTATATATACACTACTAGCCATTAAAATTGCTACACCAGGAAGGAATGCAAAAAACAGAATGATGCTTATTAGACATATACATTATAGTGGGAAGAACAAATAATTAAATTTTCAGGAAATTTGGAGATATAGATCTTGAGAAATCAATACCCAGATTAGTCACCTTTGGCAGCAATGACAACGCTTATCCGCCTGGACATGGAGTCGAACAGAGATTGGATGGCATGTATGGGTACAGCAGTCCATGCAGCTTCAACACTATGCCACAGGTCATCAACTGTAGTGACTGGCAAGTGGTGGTGTGCCAGTTGCTCGGCAACCATTGACCAGACATTTTCAACTGGTGAGAGATCAGGAGAATGTGCTGGCCAGGGTAACAGTCGAATATGTTCTAAAGGTCAAGGAAGGTCAGGACAATACAGGCAACATGTGGTTGTGCATTGTCCTGCTGAAATGTAGCATTACGGAGACCTCGAAGATAGCGCAGAACTACAGGCCTTACCACATCAGAAATGTAATGGCTGCTGTTCAAAGTGCTGGAAATGCGAACAAGAGGTGATCAAGACGTGTATTCAATGGCACCCCATACCATTACTCCAGGTGATGGGCCAGTATGATGATGTCAAATGCATGTTCACAATGCTGCCAAACACAGATGAGGCCATCATGGTGCTGTAAACAGAACTGGGATTTGTCTGAAAGATGACATGACGCCATTCCTGCGTCCAGGTTCATTACTGATCACACAATTGGAGATACTCCTGCCTGTGATGCAGCGTCAAGGGTACCGAAAACCGTGATCACCATGCTGACAGTCTATGCTGCTGCAAACGTCATTGAATTGTTCATGCAGACATTTGTTGTCTTGCAAATGACCCCATTTCTTGACTAAGGGTTTGTGACGTGGCTGTACAATCCGTTAAGGAAATGTGGATAAGATGTCTGTCTTCTCGACTGTTAGTGATGGGAAGCCACTGAGATCCTGCACGGCATTCTGTATGACCTTCCTGAACCTATTGATTCCATATTCTGCTGACAGTCGTGGGATCGCAACCAACACAAGCAGCAATACTGTGGTACAATAAACCGCAATCTTGGTAGGCTACAATTTGACCTCAATCAAAGTCAGACGTGCTGGTAGGCATTTCGCCTCCTTACATGAGGCATAACAACAACGTTTTATCAGAAAACAGCATTCAAATGCAATTTCTGTATGAGAAACCTGCTGTAAAATCTTTTATTTTATACACATTGTAGGCATCACTACTGCCACCTGCCTTACATGAATGCATTGAAAAGCTAATCATTCACATATTACAGCATGTTCTATCTGTCATGCAAATTTCATGTGTGTGGTATGCATCCTTCCTGGTGTAGCAATTTTAATGGCCAGTAGTATATATATATATATGCCTTGACTTTGGTCCAGCATAGCTCTAGGCATTGATATATATATATATATATATACCATGGAGGATATACTATAATAATAATAATAATAACAAAAAACTGGCAATAAAAATGACTACATGGTAAAATTTTGGAAAAAAGATCAAAGGGAAAGTGAATACTGAAGAAATAAGATGGTTAACATCAGGAACTTTAAAGAAAGGAACTAAAGGCTTAATACTAACTGCCCAGGAACAGGCCATTTGATCAAATGCAATTAAAAACTTGGAACTTGAGAAATCAACAACTGATGCAAAGTGCAGATTATGCAAAGAATCTGAAGAAAATGTGGATTATATTCTTAGCTCCTGTGCAAAGATTTCACAAACTAACTATAAGCAATGCCATAATACAGTTGCTAAAAATGATCCATTGGAACATCTATCAAAACTATGTTGTGCCAACTGCAAAAACTGGTGGGATCATAACAATGAAAAAGTTGTAGAAAACTCCAAAGTTAAGATCCTTTGGAACTTCACAATACGAAGTTCTAACACATAATACAAGATGTGAATGAGGTTGAGAAAAAGAAACTGTAAATAATTTTTCATATACTTTTTCTAAGTATATGTAAAGTTATGTGTACCATCCTTTCATAGTTCCATTACTATTGCTCAATCATGAAAGCTAGATGGCAGTTGTGGTATTTTTACAGTGTGTGTGTGTGTGTGCTTGTATGCAATTTTTCTTTATGAGTTAGTTCTACTTTTTGTGATTTTTCTGTGGTATTTACATATATTATAAGCAATGTTACATAACTTCAAGGAGAGATACCAGAAGTTTTAAAACAAGAATTATCTGACAAAGATGGTGATGAAATGGATATTTTTGATGACAGAATGTTCGAAAATGAAGATGACTGAAATGATGAAAATGTTGAATTGAGTAATTATGAAAGTGACACTGAGACAAGTTCATCAGATAACAGAGAAGGTAAAGATGATATTGAATACAATGATTGCCAGTACTATTTAGGTAGAGACAACAGTAAGAAGTGGAATAAAAAGCCAAATTTGAAAATGACTAAAACTAGAATATTATAAAGATATTTCCTGGACCAAGGAGTGAAGCCAGAAACATTTCATCTAAGGAAATCAAACATATTTTTAGATCCGTCTAAAAATTCTCAACGATATTGTGTTTCATTGTATATAAAGTTGACATGTGGAGCATATGAGCATAAGTTCGCTTTATTCGAACTCTTCGTCTTAATGTTTGATTTTATATTTATGAATGATTATGGAAGATCCAGCTTATTTTTCAAATTTAGTA